CCCCCCCCGCCTGGAGCTCTAGTCAGATGGGAGAGACCGAACTCGTGGACACGCAGAATCAGCTAGCTTCAAATATTGGGGAAGGAAGGGCCCATGGCCATCACTAGTTGGATTGTTTCATTTGCAGAAAAGGAGATTAAGCCAGAGAAATCAGCAGCTTTTTCAGCTGGCTCAGGGAGATAGCTCGGGGCCAGTGTCTGAGCCAGGGTCTCTGGGGCTTCTGAGCACAAATTCCAAACGCGATGATTTTGTCAGAAGTGTGATATGAAATGAGAGCCGGGAAAGGTGATGGGGTTGGAGGAGAGATGGAAGGCCACATGGAGTGGTTGGGGCCTGAACTGGGGTCTGAGGGTGAGGGAAAGCCAGGGAGGAGAGAGGAGGGAGGACCTTCTTCTCATCAGAGAGCACAGCCTAGGCGAAGGCGGGGAGGCAGCGAGCAGGCAGGCAGCCCTGGGAGACCCGGGAGCAGGGAGGCCTGTGCGGGGGCGGCAGGCACGCAGACCAGGGTCTGGCTTTGGACCTGGCCTTGTAGGCAGCTGGGAGCTTTGGATGGATTCTGTGTAGGTGAGCGGCAGGATCAAAGAGTGATTTAGGAAGGTGAAGGGAAAGATGGGGCGGGAGAGGGAGCCAGGGGCTGGTGCAGTTACCTAGGAGCTGAGCAGTGGCACCCAGTACAGCACAGACCCTAGTGAGGTGGTGAGTGGTGGGAAGAACATGGCTCCAAAGCACCCCCCCTTTCCAGACCTGGCCCTTCACTGTAGGACTTTGAGCAAGAGGCTGACCCCTCCCACGAGCCTTAGTTTCCAAAGGGAGACAGCAGGGTGTTGTGAGGATGACATGAGATCGTGCCAGCGAGGTCCCTAGCAGTGCTGGCAACTCAAAGGCACCCTGTGCCAGGCCCCTGGGTTGCCTCTGGGTTGCTGTCTTCTCCACCTTCTACCTCTGCTCTTCTCTCTCTCCACAGCAAGGAAAGCTCCACACTCTACATAAGTTTCACCCCCAAGGGAGCCAAGATCCACCACGTCAAGCACATCTACCAGGTATGAACCTCAGTGCAAGAAGGTCCCTAAAGGTCACCCATCTACTCAGCCCCTTCTTGGGACCAAGGATGCAGAGACCAATTAGACAATCTCATCCATCCTGAGTGGGGCCAGCCCTCCACTAGTCCCGCAGTCCTTTCTGTGCATCTCAAAGCTTGCACCACGGTGCTCCCAGTGGCAGCACACTCACTAGCTCCTTCCCACTGCCCAAGGGATTATTTTTAGAATCACAGAACTTGAGAGCTGGAAAGGCTCAGAGAGAGATCCTGGATTTTCATTCAAACACCCAATAAGCCACTGTTCTAGTTTAGGTACTTTGCTAGGCTCTAGGCGGCAGCAGATAAAACAGGCTCCCTGTCCACTCGCCAAACCCAGGTTCTGTGCCCGGTGCTTATGTAACAGAAACCCGGATGATTCTTACCTGTAAGCACCTATGAGCTGTGAGAGGCATTGTCATTCCCATTTTACAGATGAGAAGTCTGTGGCACAGCCGGGAGGAGTAACATGCCAGGTCATGCAGCTAATAAGAGGAAGGTCAGATTCAAGCACTTCTTTGAAAATGAAGATGCCTGTGTTTAACCTCTAAGTTAAGGAGCTGTGATTTCTCACACAGTATGCTCAGTGCTGTAGGAGCAATCCTCATTAAGGGAGCTCAGAAGGAGGCAGCCCCTGAGTCCAAAGCTCTGGGAGTCTAAGGCTTTCTTAAAGGTAACTTCAGAGAGGAGGAGGCACTAGCCAGTCAAGAGCCTTTTCATTTTACTGTGGAGAAAACTGAGGCCCAAAGATGAACTGTCTCACCTGAGGCCGCACTGGAGCCAGGGCAGCCTGGGAAAGGAGCCCAGCCGGAGGGGACCCGAAGCTGTTTAGGCCCCTTCAGAACAGAGGCTGGAGCCATCTCCCCTGGAGAGTGGCATTTGGGAAGGTCAGATGCCCCTTTGTGCTGAAGTAGAATGTTTGGAACAGCCAGTTGAGTTGGCTCCTAGCGCTGGTCACTGGGCTGGCTCAAGGTTCCCGCAGGAGCTTGAGCAGGGCACTCCTATTACCAGGCAGGCATGGATCCAAACCCAACTCTGCCATTTGCACACTGTGTGGCTTGGGCCAGGGACTTGTCTGTCTGTGCTCAGTTCCCCATCACAATGGAGTTTGGAATAAGAACCTCACAGGTGGCGTGAGGTTCAGTGGTTACTTTCTCCCTGTAGAGTCCTGGCACGGTGCCTGGGGAAGTGAAGGTGGTTAGAGGGGCGAGGTGGGTATTGTGCTACAGCCCTGAGATGCCCCAGCTACTCTGAAGTGTCTACATTCTTGCCTCACTCAGCCCAGAACCAGCTCAGACCCCTTGAGCTCCCTCCTCCCCTCACTTAAAGTATACAGTTCCACGGTATTTTTAGTGTGTTCACAAAGTTGTGCTACCATCGCAATAATCTGCTTGTAGAACATTTTCACACTCCAGAAAAGAAATCCTGTATCCATTTGCAGTTGCTCCTTCATCTTCCTCCCCTGCTCCTGGCAACCACTACTTTTGTCTCTCCATAGGGATTCACCTATTCTGGACATACCTGTAACTGAAATTGTACAGCATGTGGTCTTTTGTGACTGGCTTCTTTCACTTAGCATAGTATTTTCAGGGTCCATCCATGCTGTAGCGTGTGTCAATATTTCATTCATTTTTATTGCCAGATAAGATTCCATTGTAAGACAGGCCATGTTTGATGTACACATTCGTCAAATCATTGACATTTGAGTTGTTTCCACTTTTTGGCTATTCTGGATAATGCTGCTTAAACTTTCCTGTACAAGATTTTGTGTGGGCATATGTTTTATTTCTCTTGGATATATAACTAGGACTGCAATTGCTCTTCTTGAAACTTTGGTCTCAACATGTTCTAAATTTATTCTCTTTTCCTATACCAGCATCTTCTCTGGTTTTCTTAGAATCCTTTAAAAACCCCAGTTTTTCCTCAAGCAAAACTTCCAAGTCTGGGTGAATTTCTCTTTCCAGTGTCCTTGGACCCACTGCCTCCTCATGTTCTGTTATCTATGCCCCCGTCTCCCTTTTGTCCCCAGCACTGCTCAGACTGAATTTGTCATCTTCTTGCAACTGGACTGTACTGGCACAGGCTCCCGACTTGGGCCTTGACCCGCCTTTCCCGACTTCTTTCCATTCTGTGCCTGCAATGGATGAGCCCCCTGGAGCCACCCCTCCTCAGCTGCTTTCCATGACTCCCCAGTGCTTAGCTGATGGTCCCCTGACCTCTTGCCCCGTGGCCTTCTGAACCCCACAGTCTCATCCCAAGTCCCCTTTCCAGACTTATCCCCTATCTCTCCCCAGGCACCCCACCCTCTGGCCACATCACACTTACCTGGTATGGTTTTAATTCCCTGCACTTTCTCTTTCTGGATACCTTTCCCCATGTTCACCTGTTAATTTCTGGCCTATCTTTCACAGTTAAGTTCAAATGCTGCCTCTGACACTAGACCTTTTAGTTTAATATAACTGACATTTAATATTTTCTATTTTTTGAAATTTTCTAAGAGTTTTTTTGAGCCAAACTTATGACATATGCCAGGGAGCAAGACCTCAAATGCTCTTAATATAACTGACATTTAAAAAGTGTCCACAAATGAGATGATAGAACACCTCCCTGCTTCACCTCCCTGAGGCTTTCACTGGTGCTCCTCTTGTGTCGCTTTTTTATACATAGCTCTTTTGTACAAAAGGTACTCAGGAAATGTTTCTTAAATTAGTGCAATGCATTTGCCAAAGTGAGTCTTTCCCAACCCTCATTGTGCAAATAATTCTTATATCTGTCCTTGTTAAATGTCATTCATTCTTTTACTCATTCAGAAAACGACTTTTCTGGAGGCCTGTAATGTGCTACTCACTGTGTCAAGCAGTAGTGCATTGCGGGTGACATAAACCACAGCTCCCGCTCTCATGAGCCCACAGCCTGGTGGAGATACAGACACATGAGCTGACACTTGGCCGTTCTACTGGGGATACAGAATGCTGTGGAAACAGGAGTGGGAAGCCGCCTTATTCTTGAGGCAAACTTTCAGAATGATATTTGAGCAGGATCTTGCAGGATGTGTGAGGGTTTGCCACGTGGAGAAAACAGAGAAGCACGTGTGACCCATGCATGTCATTGAGGACAGGGCTGGGGAGTGTGGATTACTGCCCACAGCCTAACGAGTGGGCCCTTGGGCCTCAGCCAGTGAGCACTGGCTCCGGGGGTGCAGTTAGAGTGGCTGGCATTCAGGGCTCAGCAGCCCTTTGTCCTCTGCACCAGGTGAAGATTCAGCCGTCTGTCTATGACCACAATGTGCCCGCCCTGGAGGCCTTGGTTGGGGTGCCGCAGCCTCACAGTGAGGGGCTCATCACTCACAAGTGGAATGTGCAGATGGTGATGCTGCCCACAGGAGGAAAGGATGCCCAGGTGTGTGGGGGTGAGCTCATAAAAGGGGACAGATGCTTGGGAAGGGAGTGAGACGGATGAATCCTGTCACACTCAGCGATGTCTGAGTCTGCCAGGGGCCAGTAGGAGAGAGCTGGAGGGCCAAGGCCGTGCTTGGGGTGGAGGGGAATGCCAGGTTCTGGCCTTAGGGGGCTAGTGTCCTCTCAGCTCTGGACTAACTGAAGGTCTTGCCTCATCATTCCTAGGAGTGTCCTGTCACCTCTCGCGATGAGAATCTGCAAAGGCCACCCAATATGGGGGAGGTATGGCTATGTGAGCTAAGGGGGGCTGGGCCGAGCGCAGGAAGAAAGACAGGCCTCTCCAGCTCCCTGCTCTCCCTAATTCCTAGCAGGCTTGTTTGCCTGGAGCCCAGTTCTGCTGCCCAGTGGGCTTCCAGGAGGAGGTCCTCATCCAAGTGCTCGGGACCGTGGAGCTGGTGGGGGAGATCAAGGTAGCGCCTGCTGGCAACAGGCACGAAGTGCTTGTGGGGCCCTGTAGGGTGGGGGCCTTCTGGGGTGGGGGTCGGGTTGGGTTCCCCATCCTGTGCTCTTCCTGCATTTCCTGTTTTCTCTTGATGAAAAATCCCTGATGTTTACACAGTTGCAGATGAAAGAGAACCATGATGTGTTTGAAATTTGCAGGGCTGCTTTCATGGGCCTGTGGAAAGTTGTTACAGGTTCTTTCTAAGAAAACTTCCCTCCCAGCAGTGGGGAGTGGCACATGGGATGCAGAACTTTGTAGCTGCGATGTCCCGCTAGGACCCATTCTCCTCTGCTTCTCCCCTCCTTAGGCAGAGGGGGGGCAGGAGTCAGTGGGTATTTGGGCCGAGTGCTCCAGCCCTGATGCCTTCCCCCCTCCCACAGGCCTCCTCCATCATCAGCCTCTGCAGCTCCGTTTCCATCTCCTTCAACAGCACCAGGCACTTCCACCTCTACGGCATCAATGCCTCCCTGGCCCAGGTAGCTCTTTACCTCCTCAGGAGACCCGGGAACAGAGGTCAGCAGTGAGAGCTGAGGAACCAGGGCAGAGCTGGGAGAGCCAGAGCTAGGAGTGGGCAGCCACGAGGGGAGGTTTGAGCTTAGCACAGTAAAACTGCCCTCAGACAGAGCCTCCAGCCTTGGCAAAGGCTTCCATGGAAGCCACAAGCTTGCACCACCATGGTGGGCAAGCGGAGCACATGGTCACCTGTCTGAGATGCGTCAGGTAAAGGTGGATCTGATGGCAGCTCAGCAGACGGGTCCCCACTCCACAGACGGAGAGAGCAGCAAGGGCAGGGCCCAGAGTGGAGAGACTGGGTGAGGCGGGTTCAGGAGCAGAGGCTCAGGGCAGGAGGAGGGAAGTTACAGCTAAAAAGGTAAGCAGGAACCAGGTTCCGGAAGGCTTTGCAGGCGGAGCTGAGACCCTGGCATGCTCTCCTGGGACTCAGGGAAGCCACTGAAGGTAGCTGTGGTGCAGGTTGCCAGTTCGCTCTGGGGGCTGCAGTGGGAGGTATACTGGAGAGAGGGGCCCTGGACCAGAGCCTGGTATCGTGACACAGTCCAGACTGGAAACGTGAAGACCTAGAAATGGAAGCTATATTTGCAAGACATTTTAGGGGGGTGGGGCTTCTTCCCTGCACTTCCCTCCTCTCGTCCTCTCCCAGGTCATCATGAAGGTTGACATTATATATGAGAAGAATATGCTCTACCTCTACGTGCTGAGTGGCATCGGGGGGCTGTTGTTGCTGCTGCTGATTTTCCTGGCGCTCTACAAGGTCGGAGCTTCTGGAAGGAATGGGCATGGCTGAGACAGGCAGGCTGGGGAAAGGGGAATGGCAGGAGAGACCGGGGAGCATCAAAGCTTAGGAGGGCCTCGGCCTACTCCCTTCTACAGATAAGGCTACTGAGGCCCAGAGAGCAGGGGAGACTTTCCCCATCACGCCACAGAGCACTGGCAGGGCTGGGACTGGGTGCCAGGGAGAGGTAGAAGGGCTCGCCCGCAGGGCCGGGCGCTGGGATGCAGAGGCGCATGCCACAAACACGGCCCTGCCCTGTGCGGCTCACGGTCTAATGGGAGAGACAGACAGGAACGCGCATGATGAAGGCTGCTCTACGGGGCCGCCGCCTCTGGAGCCTGTGACACAGGAGCCTCGCTTAGGCCTGGGCGTCTGGGAAGGTCTCCCAAGGGAGGTGGCATTTGAGTTGGGATTTGAAGGACGAGTGGAAATTAGCCAGATGAAGAGTGCTGGGGAGCAGGTATTCCATGTAAAATATGCAAATATTCCAGAAAGGAGAACATAAAAAACCACAGTTTCTTTCTAGTACACCCCCGGAGGGTTGTCGTTAACAGCTTTTTTGTCTCTGTTCCTCTACATTGTGGTTTTGCTGTTAACATGCGTGTGTGTGTGTGTGTGTGAGCATGAGAGAGAAGTCAGTGTATGTGTATATATGTAGAAAATGTAAATGGGATTAGACTATATTACTGCTTGGGAACTTGTATTCCCCCCCGGATATTATACCCTGATGTCTTCCCACCTGAGCACAATCAGATCTACTTCTTGCTCTGAAACCTGGGTGGTTTTTTGCCACCCAGATGCCCCACCTTTTGTTTAACATGTTCTCTACTGATGAACATTTAGATTATTTATAATTTACATCTATTTCAAATAGTGTGACAAAAAAAGGCTCTTGTTACCCACATCTTCACACACTTGTCCAAATTATTCTTTAAAATTAATTCCTAGACATGGAATTGCTGAACCAAACAATATATATCTTTTGAGCTTTCAACAGAGACTGCATGGCATGCACTAAGCACCATATAAGTATGGGCTCTTATTGTTAGTATTACTAGATATTGTCAAGTCACCCCCCTAAAGTATTGGTACCTGATGTTTTCCTGAGCCTAAAGAATGAACCAGTAAATGTACAGCTTTTTAACACAGTGCCAAGAACAAGATGTGGCAGACACTGGCCCATCCTCATAGTGGATGCCACGTGTGTGCAGCACATATGAATTGTTAACATTAACAGTGCTTTCATGTTTTGCTGGGGCCAGATGTACTCCATGGACTTTCTGTTCACTCATTTTTTTTTTTTAAATATATCTTTATAGATTTCAGAGAGAGGAAATGAGAGGGAGAGAGAGAGAAACATCAATGATGAGGGAGTCATTGATCGGCTGCCTCCTGCACGCCCCCGACTGGGGATCGATCCTGTAGCCCGGGCCTGTGCCCTGCCCGGGAATCGAACCGCGGTCTCCTGGCTCCTCCGCGGACACTCCGCTGCTGGTCCGCGCCGCCCGGCCGCTCACCCATGTCTTACCTTCCCACAGGTTGGCTTCTTCAAGCGGAACCTGAAGGAGAAGATGGAGGCTACGGCCGGTGCGGCCGACGGGAACCCCGGAGAAGGCTCCGAGCAGCTGGCGCCCGAGGAGGAGGCCGTGGATCCGAGCAGCGTGGATCTCCTCGCGCAGGACGCGCAGGACGCGCAGGACGGAGGCGGCGCAGACTGAGGCCAGGCCCCATGCAGAGGGCCCACGACTGGACTCGGGATGCCTGGCGCCAGCCTGTCTCTCCCTGCACGTCACTCGAGGTCCTCTGGCAAGTCACCGCCCCTCCCAGGCTCCAGTTTCCCTGCCTTGAACTTGGAGCTCACTCCCGCCTGCCCCCCGCAGGCTCATGGTGCGGACTCGCGGAGAGATGGGCAGGAAGGGTGCCACTGCGGGGCCTCGTCACTGTCGGTGGCCCTGGCTCCTCACAGCCCTTTTTAGCTTCCTCCCCTGGAAGAGCACGTCTGATCTAAATCTGGAGAAACTGTAGTCCCAGAACCTAGTGACACTCCCAGCCCTAGTGACACACCCACTCCCCTTGGACGTCCAGAGAGGCCTGGCTCCCGGAGCCTTGCCCTGCGCGCTCCCCGCCGGGAGCCGGCAGCTTTCCACCCGCTGCCAGCCAGCAGACCTGCTCTGCTGCGAACCCCTTGCTCTTTAGCTGAAGACCAAATTCCTTAATGCGGCCTCCAAAGCCTGCAGAAGATCCTCGCTGTGCCAGTGCCAGCCGGGCCCCTTGCTTCCTGGCCTCCTGTAGAGACGTCCCACCTCTCTTCTAAGCTCCAGTCACACAGGCCTTTCTCACTCGCCAAGCTTTTCCTGTCTCCCTGAAGTCACCCCAACTGCGCTC